GGAAGGAGGAGGGCGGGCAGGGGGGGCCCTGGCAGGGGGAGGCGGTGGGGGCTGCTCATGAGGGAGGGAAGACGAAGAGGAGGAGTTTGTCGCGAAGGAAGGCGGGAGGGAGAAGGGTGCAGGCGAGGGCATGAGGCCTGTGTCGGGTACGGGCTCCATCTCCACCTCCCGGAGGTCGCCGAGGACGAAGTGGGCATTCTGCTTGCGCGTCAAGGGCGCCGAGCGATGACAGCGTTGGATGAGGGCTTCGGACAGGTACAGGTATTCCTTGGGGCAGAAGTATGGCTCGGGGGTGACTTGACGAGCCGCTTTGGGAGATGAATCCGCGACCTTCGGCTCGACCGTCCCGGTAGCCTCCGCCGGCTTCTCCACGGGGGATTCCTCCTCTCCCGGCGCCGCCGTGACCAGGCCGCTTTTCTTCAGGACGTCCGCTATTACCTCGGCGGTTGGAAGGCGGGAGTTTGAGCCTGTCACGTTGGCAGTGGCATCGACAAGGACCTCCCGGACCAGGGACGCACAGACGTTCACCCACTCGTCCCCATCTCCGGCGGCCTGGTCTAAGATGGCAAGGAGCAGATCCTTGGGCAATTTTGCGGCGTCCGCCTTGTCCAGGGCTCGAAATGCCAAAAGGACACGCAGTTTGATGCTTTGGTCGAGGGTGCTGAAAACATTCAAGACCTCCGACAGGAACGCGGGCTGGCTCTTGAGAAAGGCCGCAAAGTCAGCCGATGACCACGTGCTGGCAAGCAATCGGTTCAAAAGGAATTTCGGCTCCAACGTCGACGACATGGTGGCATGCTGCGACCTCCTGCTTACCTTTTAATGGGATGTGTGTGGAATTCAGTATGATTATGACGCGAGGACAGACGATCTCCTATGGAACTCATCGTTCAGCTCTGGAGTGCTGACCGCTCAAAGTCAGACGAATTACAACAAGATCTTTCTACATGACCTTTTGGGGACCTGACTTTATCATAATGACTTCATCAATTGCGGTTTCATGAAATACTCTACGCCTAAAAGCGACTCAGCGTAGCGGTGGGGGTGAGGGTTAACCCTCCCTCTTGAAAAGCCTCTCCCTTGTATCACCCAGGCCATCGCCGAGATTGCCGAACTAACTCTCCCGGAATATACCACTCAGGAGGCAGAGAGTGGGGAAAAAGTGATTTTTATGCGCTTTGTCGCCTCTCGTGGCTCGACTTCGAGCTAACAAAGACGCTGCTGTCACGGTTAGTGAATGGCTTCACTCTATGTCCTCGCTCGCACGCGTATCTGAGGCGGTAAGACAGATACAATGCCTTATCGACTTCTTCCCGTGGGTTTTCAGCATTTTCTCGGTACACACCAAGAGTTTTCCGGTGTACTCGTACAAGAGCTTCAAGACACAGTGTGTAGTGGATTATGCTAAGAAGTGAGGGGGGCGCGAAAGGGATGACTACCAGTAGTAGTCATCCCGACGACGGGGTCGGACATCTTACGTCCCTTGCAACATGAATTCCCTCACTCCCACATGACACAAACATCCTTGCAGGTTTATGCTACAACAAAATTGATGCTGGAGTATGATGCATGGCCTTCCAGCAGCAATGTCAGGCGCAGACAACGATGTAAAATAAGGTGTCGGTCCTGAGCGGGTCGTGGGAAATGGAGGAGGACGATACAGTCTCAGCAAGCGATGGACGTAGCGTGGTCGACGTCACGCCCTCGCATGACATTTGTGGCATTGGCCGGCCCCTTCTAGGATATCGAAACTGGCCTGCATACGCCCAGGCTCGAGATGGCCCTGACACTCGCTTCGTCGTGAAGGAGCCCTCGTTGCGAGTGAATCCCGCTTACCATCAGGCAAAACTGTTGCAAAGATGGCAGCCAGATTTGATGCTTGATCCAAGTGTGACGATGCCGTTGCTGAAAGAGGACTGGGATAAGCGGCGCACGTGGCAGAGGGAAGACATGCTGGCGCAGGGGAACGCCCTCTGGACCCCGCCGGCTCCGGGTGCCGCGCCAGGAATCGAATCCTCGCCCTCGTTTCTCGTCCATGCGGGAGGACCCGTCATGGACCAGCTCCATCTCTCTTGGCTTGACCAGGGACTGGAGGAGGCGGGCGGCGAGGATAGGGCAGGGGAGAGCCCGAGGTACCCCCTGCCCGCCCTCAGGGTCGGCACCGGGCGCGTGAGCGAGGTCGGGCCCGTCGCCCAAATCGCACCGCTCAACCAGTACGAGCCTCGGGAGAGCCTGGTC